TTCATCAGACAATACCGTGTTAGTATCAAGCTACTCTCATGAACGATAGTTGACTTATATTTTGCAATGAAAGTTCACGGAAGTAAGGAAATTAGTGAATTTCAAGAGGGCAAATAATAGAATAGCATTGGTGTAACAAGTAGAAAAATTGCTAGGTTTTTCCAGTTTAATCATAAGACGGTTAAAAATATTGTCAAGAAATTGAATGAAGAAGGCCATTGACGTGTGGAACTACGTTCAGGAAGACCAAGCACCGTGTGTGAGCGAACGAAAATGCCACTGATTAGGGAAGTCATTAGAAACCGTCTTCAGAGCGTCAAAGATGTCAACGGCATGGAAATGTCGTTATATGCGGTGCGAAAGACTGAAAGAGCCAGGCTATCAAAGAAGAATTGCAAGAAAGAAGCCCTTGATTTCAGAGGTTAACAAGGACATTCGTATGGACTGGGCCAGAGAATTCGAGAACAAAGATTATAAATATATAATTCACTGCAGGACAATTAGTCCGAAATGAAAGAGAACGAAAATAAAAAGGGGACGACTGACTTCTTTGTAGGCGAAAAATTAAAAGCATCTAAATTAGGAACCTCCAATGATTTGCTAAAAACTTAATAAAAAATTAACCTAAATAGAGTGGTCTATGATAAGTTTTTACTACTCTTGATTACAACAATTTTGGCTTGTTGAATAAAATCTCTTCTTTTTCAGTCAATGTCGTGTTAGTACCAAGTTACTCTCATCTATGAACAATAGTTGACTTAAATCTTACAATGAAAGTTCGTGGAAGTAAGGAAATGAGTCAATTTCAACAAGGGCAAATAATAGGATGGCCTCAGTGTAACAAGTCAAATAGAGAAATTTCCAGGTTAATCAAAAAAACGGTTAACAATATTGTCAAGAAATTGAATGAAGAAGGCCATTGATGTGTGGAACAACGTTCAGGAAGACCAAGCACCGTGTGTGAGCGAACGAAAAGGCCACTGAATAGGGAAGTCATCAGAAACAGTCATCAGGGCCTCAAAGATGTTGCCAAAAGCATGGAAATGTCTCTTCCTTTTCTCAGACAATACCGTGTTAGTATCAAGCAATTATCATCTATGGCCGATAGTTGACTTATATTTTGCAATGAAAGTTCATGGAAGTAAGGAAATTAGTGAATTTCAACAAGGGCAAATAACAGAATGGCATCGGTGTTACAAGTTAAATAGAGAAATTGCTAGGTGTCGCCAGGTTAATCATCAAACGGTTATTATTATATTGTGAAGAAATTTAATGAAGAAGGCCGCTGTAGTGTGGAACAACGTTCAGGAAGACCAAGCATCGTGTGTGAGCGAACGAAAAGGGCACTCACTGAATAGGGAAGTCATCAGAAACAGTCGTCAGGGCCTCAAAGATGTTGCCAACAGCATGGAAATGTCGCCATATGCGGTGCGAAAGGCTCTGAAATAGCTTGGCTTTCAAGGAAAAGATCTTGATTTCAGAGGGTAACAGATACAGACGTATGGACTGGGCGAGAGAATTCAAGAATAGAGATTATGAATTTTGGCTATCTCTAATTTGGTTAGATGAAAGTAAATTCTTCCAGTATTCGAATTCGGGAAAGGTTTATGTTTGGAGACATCAGAATCAGAATTGGAACACTGACTATCTGCAGGCGACTGTGAAACATGGAATGGTTGGAGTAATGGTGTGGGCTGCTTTCTGGTTTTAGGGGAAATCTTAGCTGATTCTTGTTGACGAGCAATTGAACAGTATAAACTACTGTCAAATATTAGAGAAATGACTACTCCCACTATTTGAAACCAATCAGATTGACAAGAATGTCTACCTTTTTCAAGAAAATGGAACACCATGTCATACGAGCAAAGTAACAAAGGCCTGAAAGGACTTGCAAGGAAGCAAGACACAGCCGTGAGTAGCTCAAATTCCTGACAGGAATCCAGTAGAGCACTTTTGGGAGCATCTTGACCGAAAAGTTTGAGTACGTGCAATCACGTTAGTGGCAACCCTTAAAGAAATATTGCCAAAAGAGTGGCAAAATAGGGATCAGACGATTGTTGATAACTTGATCAAATCCATGAAAAATCGAATACAAGCACTGAAACTAGCAAATGGATGACCTACGCTATACTAGTTCCAAATACTGTTTATTTATGTTGAGTTGGGATTACGCAATTAAATTTTGAATTTCGATATACCTGCCTAAAAACCATTTCTTAGGCCACTGTAAACATGATGTATTAAGAAAATCAATTTATACGGAACTCAATAAGATTAAAGCAGAACTAAACAGTTTATTGCCAAATTTAAGGCCAAATAATTTGTCGAGGTTGCGTGTTCTTTCGGCATCATTCCATTCTGGCTGGAAATAGTAGATAAAAATATAATCAAAGTTATTTTTTTTATATATTTTTGCTTCCATGCGTGTCGAATGTTTCTTTTGGGAAGATTTCAGAATGTAACTGACTTTATCAATTTCTAAATGTCAAGTGCCAGAAATTATCTACGACAATAGGTGACACATTCTTCACCTTCGAAACGAGACATGCTTAAGAAAATTTACCTCATGAATAACTTTAATTCTTCCGCAAATGTTCGGCTCGTTAAATGCCACTCTTTGACTGCTGCTTGTTTTACTAACCTGTCTAATACAGTTAAATTTGAAGACCAGATAATTTCAATATGTCCGCTGTCGGTTAGATCGAATTACAATAAATTCATGCTAGTTTTGTTTTTTGTTTGTTTTTTTTTAGAAAAAATCAATAACGAAAACAGAAGTCTCTCGTTATGCTTTTGTATGCACTTGATATGAGGGTACTATAACGGTTATAGGCGAGGAAAGAGAAGGCAACGAGACGAGTTCGAATTGCGACCGAGTTTGTTAGGTTCACTTGCTAGTCAGTCCAACTTTTCTTTATCCCTTCTCCTATATATGGGTTAAATAGTGGAGTAGACTGGGCTCTCTAGTCTTGATTGGCAACCAGTCTAGAGATGCTGATTCGAAAAACATAGATATTTCTCAGAAGCCTATGGGCTCTTAAAAACACTAGATTACATTCTTAAGTTGCACAATCTGTTGCAAGGGGGATAGAATGTACACTATATTTTTTCTTTATTCACTTTAAGCAAATTTCTTCGGTTCTGACTGATTTTAATTGGTATAATCTTTGAGCTTTTCTGGTTTTGGTTGATAAATACGTATATTTGAAATTCTTTGATCCAGCATTTGTCGCTCTATTTCAAAGGCATGGTTTCATTTTGAAGCACGACGTTTTGTTCTCCAGAAAAAATTGCAGGCGTAACAGCCGAAATATTGTAACAACATCAAGAAAGTAAAGGACATGACTCGTATAAATAAATATTCAGAAGCAGTTTCAGAAGTATCAACATGAAAATAATTGATTGATTTGTATAACGGCATTGTTTATTTCGGACATTTCTCTCTTCGGCCTTTCGCAGTTCTATAAAGGTTTTGATAACAACAAAAAATATAAGGACAATACTTCGAATATAAATAGTGTATCTAATGAGAGATCATTGTTATCACGTTTTGGCCATTGGGCTCTTCAGCTTTCCTCAGTTTTATAAAGGTTTTAATAATAACAAGTATGAGGACAATAGTTCGGATGTAAATAGTGTATATAATGATAGATCCTCATTATAGAAGTTCAGAAAAAATATTTACACAATTTACATTATTCGAACTATTGTCCTCATCTTTGTCGCCATGTTTATTATTGTTGTACGCTCCGGCCTTCTTCAGGTGGTTGGAATGTCAAACTGAACCCTTTATTTCGCTCACTGGGGTAGACTGTTCTAGCTCCACGTACTAGGTTTAATGGATGTCAGTTATCAGTTATGTCAATTCCCATCTCCAAGTTCTCCACTGCCTTACCCGGGTATTGAACTCACACTCTTTGGGTCCTGTCACTGAATCCAACTAACGCCTTTATCCACTGTGCCATGTGTCCTTGAGGATCCTACAATGAAAACGGATCTCATTTGGTAGAACTTCTTTTGCCTTTGTGCCAGACGAAACGTTGTTCTTTTATAATACCATGTTTTCTCAAGATGTGGTTGGTGATGACACTCCACAGTTTCTTTTTCTTAATTATGTGTGAATCGCTACACATTGAGAAAGAGTGGTTTCCCTTGACCTTCGCTACGCTTTCAAATTTAATATTTTCTTTCTTTTTTTAGACTGATACACGAATACACAGCCCAGTCTACACTACTAATTAATCCATAGCTGCGTGGGTAGAAACGGCATAGGTTCATACCTTTTTCAAGAGCCTGCATGAGAAAATGAGCGCAACAAGCTTGACAACTGACTTTCCATACCGACTTCTTATATTTTTAATATTATGTCCATCATTATTAAATCCCGGTAGGATTTGTAGTTCTCTAAGCACATTCTCGCTGTATTGATAAAATATATTCAATGAGAAAGCATATACCTGCCTTAATCCTCTTTCAAATTCCTGCGTTTTAATTGATCCCCTTCTCTAACGGCATGAAACAAGAGTTACCGTACATTCATGAAGTTAAGCAACGTCGACCACTGAGGAATACTAGGTGCTGTAAGCTTTGATGTGCGGGTGGTGTAATGGATAATGGTTTGAGATCGTTAATCAGAGAACCGAGTTCCAGCTCCAGTTGCGTTTTATTATATGCACTTACGCGAAAATATCCTTGGTAATTCTATGGAATCACCTCTTTCCCTCTAGCTATGGGTTAATTAATAAGACTTGTACCACAATATCATTATTATCTCCAAAAAAGAAATTCTTACAATCTAAAAATATTTTCAGGCTTTAAAAACCTGCAATGGGTTGATAAGACGTAAAAAAAAACCCAAACAAATGAAACAATTACTATCTGCATGTAAAAGATAATTAATTAAACGAGAAGAATAGAGCCAGCACACGTGTACACATGAGCTAATGAACATTGTTTTGTTCTAATTGTCTTGTCTTAAGAGAGAAATTATCTTTCGAATTTTATAGGCAAGACTCTTCAACTTTTGGGCAAGGAAGATGTGGCGTAGCGTCAAACGGAAAGAAAGGCCAATCGAGTTCCAAATATTCCTTAAATAAGACACTTAAGAAAATACGCATGAAATATTCCTCTGTTTAAAATATTCGACACCTTACTAAACTGATCAGTTCGAAATCATTAAATTTAGATATCGCTGCTCGCAAATAATCGAAATAAAAGAGCAAAAGTTTCAGAGATTGTCATAAAAAGGTATCTATAAATAGAAATAGAATTATATCAAATAAAAGGAATCAAAAAATAAAATCTATCACAAAATAAATAAATAAAATAAAATAAAATAAAATGGCAGTGGCTGTCAACCAGGAGAGCAGTTGTAATTTGCAAGGATTGCATTACACTGGTATAAAAAAAAGAATTGCTATAAAAACAGCATAGACATACAACAGAAAGACTTCAATCGATCCCCCAGTGATCACCCTACGTTGCATTCTGACTCTCGATCTTGCCGGTGTAAACTGAAAGCTGGGCAAGGGACCACTGCATGCTTACAAGGTAACACTATGTTGTAACCTAGAAAGGGTTACTAAATGAGGAATAACCAAAACGGTGGTTGGAAATGAAGTGTTAATCTTTATAACATCAACAAAATACAATACTCGCCAGCGGCATGAAGTAGGTAAACAACTGCTAGTGGTGGGCTACTTTGACAGCATATTACCCCCACTTACAATAATGACCAACTTATTTATGACGATTAGGACATACCCGTTTGTGTTCATATGTACGGTATATAACAATAACTGAGATAGATAGATAGATAGATAGATAGATAGATAGATAGATAGATGAGACCAATATCCATCCCTCCATCCAAACAGATAGATGCATATTGAGCAACACTATTTATGATAAGTTCATTGAACTGTGTGAGAGAGTGTGGAATCTATCTATCTATCTATCTATCTATCTATATGGCTATTTTTGTAGCGATTTTATAACATACTTATGTTATAAATTTTTTTATAAAAATAATTATATATATATATATATATATATATATATATATATATATATGTGTGTGTGTGTGTGTGTGTGTCTGTATGTGTGCGTGTGTGTTATGACCTAGAGAGAGAGTTACTGAATGAGGAATAACCAAAACGGAGGTTGGAAATGAAATGGTAATCTTTATAACATCAACAAAATATAATACTCGCCAGCGGCGTGATGTAGGTAAACCACTGTTAGAGGTGGACTACTTATAAAGCATATTAGCCTTTACTTACAATAGTATCCAACGTATTTATGAGAATTGCGACATAACCATTACTGTTCATTTGTATGGTATATAACAGAAAGAGAGAATAGATAAGAAAGGAAAGATGAGAAATAAGAAGAAAGGAAGAAAAGAAATTAGAAGAAAGAAAGGAAGAAAGAAAGAAAGGAAAAAGAAAAGATAGGAAATTAGAAGAAAGAAATAAAGAAAGAAAAGAAATTAGAAGAAAGAAAGAAAGAAAGAAATGAAAAAGAAACGAAAAAGAAAAGATAAGAAATTAGAAGAAAGAAAGAAAAGAAATTAGAAGAAAGAAAGAAAGAAAGAAAGAAAGGAAAAAGAAATGAAAAAGAAAAGATAAGAAATTAGAGGAAAGACAGAAAAAAAAGACAGAAAGAAAGAAAGAAAAGAAGAAAGAAAGAAATTAGAAAAATTCTTAAAATCTAAACATATTTCCTAGCTTTAAATAACCGGCAACGGGTTGGTAAGCCGTAAAGAACGAATAAATCAATTTTCACTTTGTTTTGGGAGGACGGACTGCCAAAATCATTAATACTATTGTTATAACCCAGAAAGAGTTACTGAAAGAGGAATAACCAAAACGGACGTTGGAAATGGAATGTTGATCTTTATAACATCAACAAAATACAATACTCGCTAGCGAAGTAGGTAAACCACTTTTAGTGGTGGACTAATTAGACAACATATTACCACCACTTACAATAATGTCCAACGTATTTAGGAGGACCGAGACATACCCATGAGTTTTCATCATGTACAGTACATAGCACACTATGAAAGAAAAAAAACTCCACGTTGGAAAAAAAGATTTGATATCAAGATAAAACCATATTTCCTTTTCTACGTGGGTGTCCATAGTATCTCACTAAAAAAAAAATACCTTGCATTTTATTCTGAAGGATTACAATTCTCATATAGGTCACAATGCGAAACAATAGTGAACCTAGTCAGGCACAAGGTCTTATTAGCGGAGTAAGCGACTTTGGAATTAACTCACTGTCATTGACCGTCTCTGCGTATATAAAAATCATCGAGCAACAATATTTTTTTTTTTTTAACTTTCTGTCTCCGATCTAGTTTTATATTTCATTTAATTTTCTTTCTTTAAATTTAATTTAATTTTAATTCAGGAAGCAGACGAAGCAAGCAAGAAAAATAATTAAATGCATAATAAAGATTGAAGCACAATCTTTTCTAAAGAAAATTGTTTGACGTAAGAGAGACTGTAATAGCGAAAATAATTTGTTTCTAATCAATTATAGACAAATTCTTCTGCTTGCGACAGACAATTAGCGACGAATACATAAACAGAAGTAAAAGTTTTCCAGGAAGATTTAGGTGCCTGTGAAATAACGTTCATTATATAGATATTATTCAGTGAAAGATATCATCATCATTGTCGTCATCATCACCAACAGCAGCAGTTTCCTGTGTTTCTGATAGGCAGGTGAAGGTCCTTTCCCAAGTCTTTCGGGCAGGGCGACAATGACTTTGGTACTTTTTGACAGGTCTTAACCAGCAAATATTTCTATTTCATCTTTGAATTGGCACCTACTTAAGTTATCAACCCCAATTCTAAAGAACAGAAAAACTGGGGGAATCAATTTTTTTTGGTAGATTAGAATTTATTAAAAAAAAAAAAACCCAAAAAACAAAAGATCTTTATCTACTGGCTTACGGCCGTAACACATTGAAACACCGCTTCCCGAAGTTAAGCAACGTCGAACCTGGTCATTACCTAGATCGTTGACCGTTTGGAAATACTAGGGTATGTATTCTTGACTGTGAGGTCGGTGTAATCAATACTAGCTAGGTATTACTAATCGGAGGGCCGAGTTCCAATTCCCGTTGAGTCTTTTTTTTTATATTCACTTACGCGCAAATACACTTGGTAAATGTATGAATCCTCTTCGTCTCCCTTCAGCTATGTGTTAATTAGTACATCTTGTATCATTAAACTATTATTATTTTCAAAAATAATAATTCTTAAAAATGCAACAATATATTCTGGCTTTAAATAACCTGCGAAGGGTTGATAAGCCTTAAAAAACGAATCAATCAATCAATCCATGGAGTTCAACTTTGAGGGTTGGGTTTATCTCTGTCAGCCCACTTTGTATTGCGTTGACCATTGTTATATGCAATCCATTTTTCATCGCCTGTTTTGGGTTAGTGTTTAACAGGATGATACATCCGTTATAATTGATTCCCATCCACCAAAGTTATTTGTAACTCAAAATAATACATACCTACAGGCTCCTATATAGCACGGCCAATGTTAATGCTTATAGACAATAATAATAATAATAATAATAATAATAATAGTGATGAATGTCCTGATGTTACGCCAGAATTGGTTGTCATAGCTTCTGGTCTTAATTTATTTTAGATGATAACAAGTATATATGATTTTGGCGAATAGGTTTAGTACCACAGGTTTTCACATCTACTACTAATGATAATAATAATTACTACTACTACTACTCCTAATGATAATAATAATTACTACTACTCCTAATGTTAATAATAATTACTACTAGAACTACTAATGATAATAATAATTACTACTACTACTACTACTAATGATAATAATGATTACTACTAGTACTAATGATAATAATTACAACTACTACTAAAGAAAATAATAACAACTACTACCAATGATAATAATAATTACTACTACTACTAACGATAATAATAATAACTGCTACTACTACTACTAATAATAATAATACTCATTTGGACATTAAACAATCAAACAGAAATTTACATGTAAAACCTCCTAATATCCCTTAAAAAACTAATCCCAAACTACTTCATTTAATCAAGATAAAATTCTTCGTATATATATATATATATATATATATATATATATATATATATATATATATATATATATATATATATATATATATATATATATATATATATATATATATATATATATATATATTTACTCTCTCTCTCTCCATATATATATATATATATATATATATAGTACAAGTAATTTACTAATTTAAAAATATGGTTCAATCGCTACACTGGAATTACCAAAGTTCAATCACTACATATGAATTCCAATGTTTCAAAAAAAGACACTAGAAAGCTAATTAAACTAGAGAAAAAAATGCGCTTGAAAATTAAACAGTACTAATGATTTTAATTTAATTCTATAATTAAATTTGAAGTTTTTAATTTCTGTTTTTAAAACATGGAAATTTCTCTGTAGCGATTAAAGCATATTTTTAATTTAGTAAATTTATAATATTTATGCTCTGCATAATTGCATTGAGCACTCTTTTTTAAAAATAAAATAATTAATAAGAACACCGGATTATAAATATATATATAAGAAGATAATGCACAGATAGGAAACGTATATCAGTTTAACATGTTTGATTTTTATTAAAGCTTCGTCAGAGATTGATAGGGAGCAGACAAAAAGACAGAATTTTGTTATTTTCAATTTTTCATGGTCCGATTCTCTTTGGTTAGTCATGTATTGCCTGCATTAAAAACTTAGATAATTCTATTTATTTTGTAAGTTTGTAAAATTCTAGTATGTCTAAGCGGGCATAGGATGGTAATGTGTATTCGTAAGTCTGTATGTGTGCCTGTCTTTGTAAAGTCAGACGATGCAGTGGGATAGCACTCTGCTTTAAACTGGGACTGTTTTTTTTACGCACTTACTCTTTTGTATTAGATAGTTATAAGTTAGATTCTTTAAGAATTTATCCAAAGAAGGTTAGCGATATAATGCAATGTTTTAAGTGTGTGTTTGTAATTTCTCAGGTATATTAGCATTTTTACAAATTTACATACATTTAGAATTATCTACGGTTTTAATGCATGTGTGTTGGGGCCACCCACCTTCTCATGAGAATGGACTGATCTCTCTACGATATAGGACAGTGCTAGAGAGTTCTGAGGAGATCAGAGAGATCAGGTGACCATCACACTTCCGTCTCTCGACCGGAAACTTGGACTTTAGACTCTTGCTGATTGTTACTAACCTGCGTTCGTTTGACTAACCTCTCTGTTGTAAATACCTCTTCAAATATACCAGTATTTTTCCCTACATCTGCGTTTGTCCTTATTTGAATACACGCACGCGGGAACACCCCCAACATCTCACCAATGTGATACATGACTGACCAATGAAAATCGAACCAAACAAAATTAAAAAAGACCAAAGTTCTTTCTTGTTGACTGCTTTCTCTCATTCCATGACGAAGCTTTAATAAAAGTGAAATATGTTAGATTGATTTACTTTTTTCCTATTTGTTCTTTAACTTATTATGATGATCTGCACATTTCATACATATATATATATATATATATATATATAGTATTACACAACAAAAATTATCATTATTAAAATTATCTCATATGGTGAATAGATATATTATTTTGAAATAAATCTATCCCGCATATGACATAATTTTGGATCTTGTCTTGTAATACTATTTATTGGCTGTTATAATAAATACATTGAGCTCTTTTTGTGGATTAGTTTTAATATTTTATATTATTAGGATCCATTTGGATTATATACCAACGGATTTATTACCATTACTATATATATATATATATATATATATATATATATATATATATATATAAAGAAAGAACAGTAAGATATATAATCCGGTGTTCTTATAGATATTTTTTATTTTTACAAAATAGTGCTCAATGCAAATTTACAGAGCATTAATATTATAAATTAATTGATTTAAAATATGTTTTTTCCGCTACACAGTTCTAACCATGTTTCAAAAATAGAAGCTTAAAAGCCCTGAATTTAATTTTGCAATTAAATTAAAAGCATTAGTTCCATTTCATCCTCAAGCGAATTTTGGAGTAACTTTTTAAAAAAATTACTGGGTTTTAAAGACACAGCTAAAATCACGTTTCCATGGTTACAGAATATTCTACGTCAATTGTACAAGGGATGATTAGGTTTTCCTTATGTTAGTATCATTGTATCAATTATTAGCTATAATTAATTTATAATATCTATATATATATATATCATTGGATCCCAAGAAAAGTAATACATTGTGAGAGTATATGACAAAAAGGAAAATATTATTAAGGAGAAAGAGAAATAAATGAACAGCAATTAAGAAGGCAGAAAGTAACGAGTCCCTTTGCGTTCTACAAGCGAGAAGTACGGGTGAAGAGACTGTTAGCATAGAACTTACGGTTACATCGAGACATTTCAACCCTAAAATGATGGGACCTTGCCGGCAATCTCGGACTGCGCTTAAATTCATAAAGTACGTATTACAGAGAAATTTCGTCATAACAATTACCATTAAATCATTCATTGAATAGGCACAGGGAAACTACCTAACTGCTGAGGGAAATTCACAGAAGTCGAGATGAGAGCTCAGGACCAATAACATTGCAAATTCTTCTTTGGATTTTATGAAGAATTTCTATTCACATAGTAAAAGTACTAGATTAGATATGACAGCGGTATTTAAAGCATGGACTAAAAATCGAGCAAAATTGTCTCGCATGGCACAGAGAAACTAATTTGCCTAGAAGCAGACCTAGCAAGTGATTCAATATAATCTTTCTTCTTCAGGTCAGTGGAAAACGAATTTTTAAGCCAAAGTTTTATTATATATATATTTTTTTTTACCAAGCTAATCAATGAAAAGAAAAGTTATTTAGTATAAGGAACGGAGATATCTCAGAGACAACAAATCCTTTACAGGGTTCTGTTTTCCAATATGGCATCCGTTGCAGGAAGCCATTTTAGCTAACGCGGGAAAAGTAATGTAATGAATAAGTCAATACAGCACATTTTCAAGAGCAAATATAGCAAAAGTCTGGACCATTATCTATTTTACTAATACAAAAAAAATAATTCATCACGTTGTCTTCTCTTGAAAATTTATGGTTTCCCGGCTACTGATACAGGGAAAAGATGAAGCAATTTTAATTCGATTTAAAGTTATTTGATAAAGAATACTGTCTAAAGTTATGTTTCCACATCTTTGTTGACTAAAAAAACAACGTTTCAACTAATGTTTGTTTGGGTCTTTTACACCTATTTTGTGCATTTATTAAAATTTACGCGTCAAAAAACTACTGTCCACATTTTGACAGAATCAAAACCACTTTGTAACAACAGAATTTAACAACATATGCTAATAAGTCCATAGAAAACAATATTTTTGAAGATAATTAAATTTAAATAAAAACCAGTGTCTCTTTTTGAAGCGTACAAAACGTATGTGGTTTGTTTTGCTAAGTGTGTCAATCAGGCGTATCTTTAAAGGTCTGCATATCTTATGACCTAAAAATGAAGAAAACTGTTTTCTAAATAAACGTTTCTCAATATGCATAATCCTATTGTATTTTATACTCTGAATAAAACTCTATAGAGCTGACGATGAGAGAAACATTTGATGAATGTTCAATGTTTATGTTAAGGGGTCCACCCTTTTTTATATACAAGTGGACTCGCCCACTGTGTACTTGTACTGCTGCCAGTGAATACCCGGAGATGAGAGAGTGTTATGGAGTAGTTTCACAGTGGAGGCTTGTAGTTGTACTAAGTCGGTCCTAAAATAGGTTCGACGTACAAAACGTTAGGAACTTGATATAATAGGTAATGACGCAGAGAAATCTAGTTGTGGTCGCTGATACTTTAGTATCCGACTAACGGTCGTCCGGCATCGACTGACTGAGCGACTTTGGCGACTGACTCGTTACTATTACTACTACTACTTATCATAGGTGGGAGTGTCTATTAACTATAGAATAGGTGTGTTCCACTATAACAGAGAGTGATAGTGTGAGGTAATCGCTTTGTAAGAGTCACAGTTGCAAGCACGTAGACTTAGTAGAAAGTCATACTTTAATACTGAATTTCGCAGACTGTATATATATTATTATTGCTACTAACCGCATTTCTGGATCTACTAACCGTATTGCCAATTGTATTATTACGTCAATACATTTATTTGTTACTAGAAGCATGGCCCGGCGTTGCCCGTGCTTGATTCAAAAATCATATGACTCATACAGCAGTGCACGCACTAACCTGTTTCTTCCCGCGCATAGCGTGACCTTAAATTAATCTGCATTTAGGAAATACCCAACCGGGAAAACATTTTTAAGGGTTGAGCGATTGTCCATTTGCACTCTGTTTGGTGGGGGGGGGCGCTCAGAGTTGAAACTTCACATGATGACTCCCAATGGCTTCTTCATAAATTCGCTCGGTTTTCGCTAAAAACCGACATGTGGTTCAGACGCAATCTGGGCGTATCGGTTTTTGGGTTTTATCGATTTTCTGCGGTGTTTAGGGGTCCGTGGTCATGAAACTTCTGGACAACACTTCTAAAGGTAGACTCTAAGAGTGTGTCAAATTTGGTTGAAATGCAATAATTCCTTCTGTAAGCAGATTTTTTCGATTATCGACTTTTTCGGAACCTGAGCCCGAACTGAAAAATCGGGCTGCGTCATGTCCTTAAGGCAGCCATTTGCAAACTTGTGGTGAAAACCGCATAGAAATCGGGTGAGAAATACGGCCTGCGCGAGGTAACAACGCCCACGACAGACACACAGACAGACAACCTTATCGATTTTTTCGGAACCTGAGTCCGAACTGAAAAATCGGGCTCCGTCATGTCCTTAAGGCAGCCATTTGCAAACGTGTGGTGAAAACCGCATCGAAATCGGGTGAGAAATGCGGCCTGGGCGAGGTAACAACGTCCACGACAGACACACAGACAGACAACATGAGAAATATAGATAGTAGATATTTCATTCCTGCGTTTGTCATTCATGCGAGACCGGATTTCATCCCGGTATCCACAACAGTTTATAATATTAGTATTATTAAAAATAATAATAATAATAAAAATCCATGCCTCAAAGAGATACCAAATATTGTTCTGACAAGTACAGCCCACACTTTACGAAGGGCTTTGTCAGTGGAAATTGTCAAGATGCCATTTCTAACCTTAGGTCCCTAGGCAGGACCGGAATGAAATGTGTAAACGTCAGATATCAAAGGAAATAATAATAATAATAATAATAATAATAATAATTCAGCAACTTTACTATTTTTTCACTTGCATAAATAAATCAGTTCAATTTAAAGAAAATCTAAATACTTAGAATCCAAAAGGGGCAACTGACATTTCCAGGGTAGATAATGAGGAAAGAGAGTTTGGAAAAATGAACACTCACAGGACATGTTGAAGGCAAGAGGAACAGCGAAAAACAGCGAATAACTTATCTAATGACCGTCTAAATGATTGACAGAACGAGATATATCGCAAAAAGAAAAGCATTACTATGAGCGATAAAGAAAAGAAAGTTGTGGAGAACCATGATCCCCGACGTTCTGAATGGACACGGCACATAGAAAAAGAATTAAACAGATCATCTATAGTCATTTAGATAATTCCGTATTTTTCGACGCCATTAGATTAAATTTGTAATAACGTGACTTACCAACAAACTAAATGTTTTCTAACTTACAACTAAATTTTAACTCCCGTATGTGGCTGATTATAACACACTCCAATAACTATGACGGAAAAAATCGGGAAAAAAGTTCTTTTCCTTGTACTTCCACTATGCCCAATTTTACCTCTTATGAAAACCTTACTAATCACTAGTTTAGTTACACTATTTACATTGTTCGAACTGTTATTCTAATCTTTGTTACCATATTCTCGAAGTTTTAGCCATTGTACACTTCGGTCCTCTTCGGGTGATTGCAATAAAAAACACTTAACGAATCAGGGCATAAGCTAGGCGACAAAAATCACCTTAGCCGGCCAAGCGTAGACATGAATACAATATGGAAACTAGGAATATGTCTTGTTAGAGAAAAAAAAAATTAACAACAATTTGTAATATGAGCTCTGGTAAAAATGCTTAACGAGACACTAAGTTTATAAGTCCCCAAAATTCATACACTGATACTCTCTGATACACTGATGATCTCAAGCGGATAAAAGCGTTGCTTGCAGTAATCCAGTGACTTGATCCAAAGATTTGTTCAATACTTGACCACAAAAACTTGGACAGTTAAGGTACTAAAAGAATAAAAAAATAACAGTAATACAGACATCTGGAAAAGGCTGCGCACGTGGAACTAGAAATAAAGGGTTCGGTTCAAAATTCTAACCACCTGACGAAGACCGGGGCGTACAACGGTTGAAACGTCGTGAATATAACAACAAAGATGTGGACAACAGTCCGAACAACTAGAGTAAATAGTTACAAATAACTACAAATAATGATAAATTTAATAGTAAAAATAATAATAAATTTATGGTAACTATTTAGAATGTAATACTTAGAACTTTATATACTCAAGACCTCGGAGCGCATATTGATGTGCCCTTGTCAGTGATGACAAACATAAATGGCTGTTTCAGATGATGGTCAGCTATTGTATTTGACATCGTTAAATACTGTAGGCATGATTGCTTAACCAAGCGAAAATACCCAGCATGTCCTGACGAAAGCAGAGGATACAGTAGTGTTATTCTTAAAGAGTCTTCTATAAACGATTCTGCTTTGTGGCCAGAAGGGAGGAATGAAGGACAAAAAGAAAGAATGAAAGAAAGAATAAATGAATGTAGGAAGGAAGGAAGGAAGGAAGGAAGGAAGGAGGAAAGAAAACATTGAAGGAAAGAAGGAAGGGAAGAAGGAAAGAAAGAAAGAAAAAAGAAAGAAAGAAAAATAATGAATGAATGAAAGAAGGAAAGAAAGAAATGGAGAAAGAAAGAAATAAAAGAATGAAGGAATGAATGAAGAAAGGAAGAAGAAAGGAAGAAAAGAAAGAAAGAAAAGAAGGAAGAAAGGAAGGAATGGATTAAGGACGGAAGGTGTTACTTAAATGGTATTAATGAGAAAAGAATGAATGAAAGAAAGAAAGAAAGAAAAAAAGAAAGAAAGAAAGAAAGAAAGAAATAAAGAAATAAAGAAAAGAAAAGAAACAATGAATGAAGGGAGGAAAGATGGAAGCAAAGAAAGAAAGAAAGAAAGAAAGAATGAATGAATGAATGAAGGAATGAATAAATGAAGGAAGGAAAGAAGATGTTACTTCAGAAGGTATTAGTGTAACATAAATTTCGGTTCCTGCCAACATCCCAATATCGTAACTGTGTAAATATCTTCTCCTAAAACGCCGTTAATTATTTTTGAAATCCTGGATATGCTTTATTTCCAAGGGCTCAGATTCGGATATAAATGTGGAACAGACGCTGCATGTGGACGGGGAAATGGTTCTACGAATCGGTTAGAATGCGTTGAATTGGTGCAAGGATTATTGTTGTAGGTTTGAGTCAGTGATTGTAGCGAGCTAATTGTCAGACAGATGAAGGCCACCCTTTCCCCATTTTCCAACTTGTGTTATATTTGTACATATTCGTACAATAAATATTGTTTGTCTACGAGTCATTAAGTTTGCATAGAAAACATGTTCCTGATACGTGCTACTGATGGATTGGATTTTATTCCTTCAAAATCCTACTACCGCAAACACTAGTCCAAATGTTTGAAAAGGATTCATATTCTGTCTCTATTTCCATGGCAAATGTTCAGATGATCTCCATTCTTTAGCTTCACCAGTTCAGACATTCACAGCTAAGCCTCTTGCTAACTGCTGAAACTTGACTAATGCATGGAATAATAATACAACACAAAATGTACTTAGAACAAAATGTATTGAAACAAGAAAGTGTACACAATATTTACATATAGTCTTTTGTATATTCTTGGGAAGACCGTTCCTGGAGAATGTGATGACTTAGTCGCAGTCGGGCAGAGTCTCTGGATTGAATCTCTTGATTCCTCTCCTCGTCTTCCCGGTACCAACCATATTTATATGGTCGGTACTCCACTATGCAAATTAGGTGGATCCTGCCACAACACTCACCTACCGCTATTTCCATGGCAAATGTTCGGATAAGTTCTATTCCATAGTTCCGCCACTTCAGACATTCACAGCTAAATTTCTCGTTACTCTATCGCCAAATCTATGGCAAATGTTCAGATGAAACCCATCTTTAGTTCCACCAACGCAGACCATCACAGCTAAGCCTCTCACTAACCTATCGCTATTTCCATGGCAAATGATCAGATGAGCAGCATTCTTTCGTTCCATCAGTTTAGACCATCACAGCTAAGCCTCTCGCTATTTTATCGCTATTTCCATGGCAAATGTTCAGATGAGTTCTATTCCATAGTTCCACCAGTTCAAACCTTCACAGCTAAATTTCTCGCTGCGCTATCGCTACTTCTATAGCAAATGTTCAGATGAGCTCAATCTTTAGTCCCACCATTTAAGACCATCACTACTAAACCTCTCGCTAACGTTTCGCTAGTTGCATGGCAAATGTTTACATGAGCACCATTCTTTCATTCCACCAATTAAAACCTTTTCAGTGAAACATCTCGCTACTATATAGCTATTTCCATGGCAATGTTCAAATAAGCACCATTCTTTAGCTTCAGCCGTTCAGACATTCACAGCTAAGCCTCTCGCTACTTTGTCGCTATTTCCATGGCAAATGTTCAGATGAGTTCTTTTCCATAGTTCCACCAGTTTAGACATTCACAGCTAAACTTCTCGCTACTCTATCGGTATTTCAAATGGCAATGTCCAGATGATCTCCATTTTTAGTTCCATCAGTGTAGACCATCATAGATAAGCCTCTCTCTATCCTATGGCTGTTTCCATAGCAAATATTCAGAATAGCTGTATTCTTTAGTTCCACCAATCCAGACATTCATATGCTACTTCTAAGAAATTCATCCTCAGTTCTTAATGTAAATGGGAATATTCCACTCTGAGAGATTTTTTTTCTTCTCAAGAACTATTTATATGAAGAACTGATTGTAACGTGGTTCCTTCCATGAATCTTATCCTATTCAAGTCAAACCTCAGTCGCTATCCAGCCTCTTTATCCCTTTAATCTTCCTTACCACCAAATCTTTCATTCGGGACACACACCACAGGCACCATGTCCATATTAGCTGTAGGCGTTAATCTTGAATGACTTTCGAACTCGATATTAGGGCTAACTTTAGTATTAGGTTGGTGCAAAAATAATGACGTAAGAATGTCGTTTTATGACGTTAAAAATACGTAAAAAACGACATTATTACGTCTTTATTTTTGCACCAACCTAATATAAATGAAACTCGTGGAAGCCATCGATAAAAGATGACGGAAAACTGCTTAGTTCTCTGAATCCTCCAGTAAGTACTTGGCTGCTCTTATTATCCTCTCACTTTACAAGTGTTAGATCAGGCCGAACATGAGGTACTGCTACTATAGCGGGCGTAACAGCAAAATTGCCAAAACCGTGTAACAGCAAAATTGTCAAATTGTTAGATTAAGATTTGAACTGTTTTACCTTAGAAATGATTAAATATACCTTACTGGAATTCTCTGATGTTTTATAACACTATCAGGCTCTACTTTGTGTAATAAGAATGTATAATATCTCTCAAAGCTTAACAGAAGAACCGTAATGAAATCGATCACAACCCAAAATGACATGATCATCATAAATCAATCGTAGCTAAGGATCGAAAGCTGAGGGAGAATTGAAGTTCAAATATATATTATTCCAGGATCATTTTCCAACTTATTCAATGATGATCTTCGCTTTCTCTAACCTTCAAACATTTTTTCCTGGAATAACAAGGTACCTATGGCGTTTCACAAACGATTTCATTTTTTTTTTCACTGCTGTTTGGACTGTCATAGTTAAGACCCCTCTTTCACTTGCTAAAAGTCTTATAGATTGAGTTGGATCTTTTCTAATTGATCTGTTTAGCTCTAAGTTGAAATACTGATCCCTTTTGCTGTTGTGACCTCCTGATCCAGTTTTCCTCTCTACTGTTTCTTAAATTTTAAAACCGTTCTCTTGATGATTCTTGGATGTAATTTGAAGATGGAACTAGAGTATGAATCTTGGTATCATTGCTGAAGGCCTGAATGATCTTTTTCCTATAACCATAGCTCATTTGGGAGGGCAGTGCGGCTGACACAAGACGATTTTAACCTGTTCTCTTTCTAGCAGAATAACCCAAGTGCTGTAAGTGATTCTTATGACGAATGGTATTACGATGGCTGAACGTCTCATTCGAAAAAAACTGGAAAAAGGAAACTCGATTTTTGTTAGATATTAAACATTTTGTTGGATGTACAATTATGCTGTAACACGATTAGGACAATTTTGCTGTTACGCCTGATATAGGGTGCAGGGGTTGCACAGACTTCGTTTTCGTGTCTCGATAGAACCCAAAAGAATCTACCCAACCAGGTGAGTTATGGGATAACCGGATTATTTTCCACCATGCCGCCCCTTACCCACAGACGAAATGTTGCAAGCCTTTCCTTACCCTATGCCTTTTTCCATGGAAAGTGTCCAGACGAATTACATTCCTTAGTCCCACCAATTCTGCCTACAGAGCTAAGGTCTGCACATTGTAACGAACTACTGCATTCCCTTCGTATGGTATTGGTTCCAATCAAGCAGCTACTTTGTTGAACCGACTCCCAAGAGGATGCTTCCCTGAGCCAAACTTTTCGAGGTTAACCTTTACCTTCCACACATATCTTCATAAACTTTGCCTCTTAGCTATTGATCTATAATCGTCTTTTTTAAGTGGCTCTTGGAACATTTATAGAGTGAAGGTTACTGTAATTATGCCAGATTTCCTTTCTCTTTGAGAAATTGGCAGAATTTGACTGGCATGTCATACAACACTCACTGTATTCACCTTAACCTGCAACTTCGGAGTATAAGTTATACTAAGCCCACAGAACTTCCTTAATTGAAAGAATTTAATTTCTCTGGAAGCCTGTAAAATTCACACAGACTACTTCGTTACCCAGAATATTGGCAAGTTCTTGGAGAATGGAATAATGAAGCTGCCAGGTGAATGAAGGTGTAACAGAACACTGTTTTTGAAATTTAATCAAAAACGATGACGTTTCCTCTGACATAAAAGAACGCCCACGTTATTATTTTACGATGTTAGGTTTTTGTAGCTCGAATAAAACTCTTATTATGTGCTACCTAGAAAATCTGCATTCGAAATATTCCTTTTAAAGTGGGTTTGCAAACTGACCTCTCGAACCGACGTAGGCAAGCATGAGAAGAAACCATGAATGGGGTATTTTTTTATTTTGGGATTTTATCTTGCTTTTCCTCATTGCGCAGGCGCATCATACGTACAAGCTGTCATCGAAATAATTATTTGTCCTTATTTTCTTTATGCTTTACCCTAGCGCGAAGAGGAGGCGAAGTCATATATTTTTGTCACGGCTTTTGTTAATAATCACGTTTTCCTTGCAAGCCTCGAAGACAACAAGATGTCGGAGGCAGACATTGTGCCGTGAACTTAATTCTGTTATTGGAAGAGATATACAAAATAAAGGAGAGAAGAGAACAGCCGAGACGAACTACAATAGTTACTGGAAAATGTAGATTCCTATCAATAAAAGACAAATAAAATAAAAGACTCAGAGATAATATTTTAATGAATGAAGATGAAGTAAGGACAGTTGTAAGGAAAAAGAGAATGGAAGCAAATAAAACGAAAGGAAATAGATTAAGCTAGAAGATAAAGAAGAAAGGAAGTACAAAGCAAGTGAAAGAAAAAAAGTTTGTTGTTAAGAGCAAAAAGAAAGAAATATTATTAATGGCAGAAAAGAACGAAAGAGAAGAAGAAAATAAACGTAAAGAAAGAACCGAAGAAAAAAAGAGTGAAAAAATTAGGAAAAAATGATAAAAGAGTGCAAATGATTAGGAGAGAAAGTAAAGAAAGAAGGAAATAGAAGGAAAGAAAGAAGGAAATAGAAAGAAGGAAAGAAGGAAATAGAAAGAAGGAAAGAAGGAAATAGAAAGAAGGAAAGAAGGAAATAGAAGGAAAGAAAGAAGGAAATAGAAAGAAAGAAAGAAGGAAATAGAAAGAAGGAAAGAAGGAAATAGAAAGAAGGAAATAGAAGGAAAGAAAGAAGGAAATAGAAAGAAGGAAAGAAGGAAATAGAAAGAAGGAAAGAAGGAAATAGAAGGAAAGAAAGAAGGAAATAGAAAGAAGGAAAGAAGGAAATAGAAAGAAGGATAGAAGGAAATAGAAGGAAAGAAAGAAGGAAATAGAAAGAAGGAAAGAAGGAAATAGAAGGAAAGAAAGAAGGAAATAGAAAGAAGGAAAGAAGAAAATAGAAAGAAGGAAAGAAGGAAATAGAAGGAAAGAAAGAAGGAAATAGAAAGAAGGAAAGAAGGAAATAGAAAGAAGGAAAGAAGGAAATAGAAAGAAAGAAAGAAGGAAATAGAAAGAAGGAAAGAAGGAAATAGAAAGAAGGAAAGAAGGAAATAGAAGGAAAGAAAGAAGGAAATAGAAAGAAGGAAAGAAGGAAATAGAAGGAAAGAAAGAAGGAAATAGAAAGAAGGAAAGAAGGAAATAGAAAGAAGGAAAGAGGGAAATAGAAAGAAGGAAAGAAGGAAATAGAAGGAAATAGAAAGAAGGAAATAGAAAGAAGGAAAGAAGGAAATAGAAAGAAGGAAAGAAGGAAATAGAAGGAAAGAAAGAAGGAAATAGAAAGAAGGAAAGAAGGAAATAGAAAGAAGGAAAGAAGGAAATAGAAGGAAAGAAAGAAGGAAATAGAAGGAAAGAAAGAAGGAAATAGAAAGAAGGAAAAAGGAAATAGAAAGAAGGAAAGAAGGAAATAGAAGGAAAGAAAGAAGGAAATAGAAGGAAGGAAAGAAGGAAATAGAAAGAAGGATAGAAGGAAATAGAAGGAAAGAAAGAAGGAAATAGAAAGAAAGAAAGAAGGAAATAGAAAGAAGGAAAGAAGGAAATAGAAGGAAAGAAAGAAGGAAATAGAAAGAAGGAAAGAAGGAAATAGAAAGAAGGAAAGAAGGAAATAAAAAGAAGGAAAGAAGGAAATAGAAAGAAGGAAAGAAGGAAATAGAAGGAAAGAAAGAAGGAAATAGAAAGAAGGAAATAGAAAGAAGGAAAGAAGGAAATAGAAGGAAAGAAAGAAGGAAATAGAAAGAAGGAAAGAAGGAAATAGAAAGAAGGAAAGAAGGAAATAGAAAGAAGGAAAGAAGGAAATAAAAAGAAGGAAAAAAGGAAATAGAAAGAAGGAAAGAAGGAAATAGAAAGAAGGAAAGAAGGAAATAGAAAGAAGGAAAGAAGGAAATAGAAAGTAGGAAAGAAGGAAATAGAAGGAAAGAAAGAAGGAAATAGAAAGAAGGAATTAGAAAGAAGGAAAGAAGGAAATAGAAGGAAAGAAAGAAGGAAATAGAAAGAAGGAAAGAAGGAAATAGAAAGAAGGAAAGAAGGAAATAGAAGGAAAGAAAGAAGGAAATAGAAAGAAGGAAAGAAGGAAATAGAAAGAAGGAAAGAAGGAAATAGAAAGAAGGAAAGAAGGAAATAGAAAGAAGGAAAGAAGGAAATAGAAAGAAGGAAATAGAAAGAAGAAAAGAAGGAAATAGAAAGAAGGAAAGAAGGAAATAGAAGGAAAGAAAGAAGGAAATAGAAAGAAGGAAAGAAGGAAATAGAAAGAAGGAAAGAAGGAAATAGAAAGAAAGAAGTAAATAGAAGGAAAGAAAGAAGGAAATAGAAAGAAGGAAAGAAGGAAATAGAAGGAAAGAAAGAAGGAAATAGAAAGAAGGAAAGAAGGAAATAGAAAGAAGGAAAGAAGGAAATAGAAAGAAGGAAAGAAGGAAATAGAAGGAAAGAAAGAAGGAAATAGAAAGAAGGAATTAGAAAGAAGGAAAGAAGGAAATAGAAGGAAAGAAAGAAGGAAATAGAAAGAAGGAAAGAAGGAAATAGAAAGAAGGAAAGAAGGAAATAGAAAGAAGGAAATAGAAGGAAAGAAAGAAGGAAATAGAAAGAAAGAAAGAAGGAAATAGAAAGAAGGAAATAGAAAGAAGGAAAGAAGGAAATAGAAAGAAAGAAAGAAGGAAGTAGAAAGAAAGAAAGAAATAGAAACAAGGAAATAGAAAGAAGGAAAGGAGGAAATAGAAAGAAATAAAGAAGGAAATAGAAAGAAGGAATGAAGGAAATAGAAAGAAGGAAAGAAGGAAATAGAAAGAAGGAAAGAAGGAAATAGAAAGAATCAAAGAAGGAAATAGAAAGAAGGAAATAGAAAGAAGGAAAGAAGGAAATAGAAAGAAGGAAATAGAAAGAAAGAAAGAAGGAAATAGACAGAAGGAAAGAAGGAAATAGAAAGAAAGAAATAAAGAACGAAAGAAATAGAAAGAAGGAAATAGAAAGAAGGAAAGAAGGAAATAGAAAGAAAGAAAGAAGGAAATAGAAAGAAGGAAATAGAAAGAAAGAAAGAAGGAAATAGAAAGAAGGAAATAGAAAGAAGGAAAGAAGGAAATAGAAAGAAGGAAAGAAGGAAATAGAAAAAAAAGAAAGAAGGAAATAGAAAGAAGGAAATAAAAAGAAGGAAAGAAGGAAATAGAAAGAAGGAAAGAAGGAAATAGAAAGAAAGAAAGAAAGAAGGAAATAGAAAGAAAGAAAGAAAGAAATAGAAAGAAGGAAATAGAAAGAAGGAAAGAAGGAAATAGAATAAAGGAAATAGAAAGAAGGAAATAGAAAGAAGGAAAGAAGGAAATAGAAAGAAAGAAAGAAAGAAATAGAAAGAAGGAAATAGAAAGAAGTAAATAGAAAGAAGGAAATAGAAAGAAGGAAAGAAGGAAATAGAAAGAAAGAAGGAAATAGAAAGAAAGAAAGAAGGAAATAGAAAGAAGGAAATAGAAAGAAAGAAATAGAAAGAGGGAAAGAAGGAAATAGAAAGAAAGAAATAGAAAGAGGGAAAGAAGGAAATAGAAAGAAAGAAAGAAAGAAGGAAATAGAAAGAAGGAAATAGAAAGAAGCAAATATAAAGAAGGTAAGAAGGAAATAGAAAGAAAGAAAGAAGGAAATAGAAAGAAAGAAAGAAAGAAATAGAAAGAATGAAATAGAAAGAAGGAAAGAAGGAAATAGAAAGAAGGAAAGAAGGAAATAGAAAGAAAGAAAGAAGGAAATAGAAAGAAGGAAAGAAGGAAATAGAAAGAAAGAAAAAAAGAAAGAAAAAAAGAAAGAAAGAAAGAAAGAAAGAAAGAAAGAAAGAAAGAAAGGTAAAAACATTTTAGGTTTTGTTTTATTTACCGTCATCTTAACCTCGATGGTTTATTTAATGCCGAAATCTAAATATTTACTACGCCATTTTATAGCTACCACTACAGATATTTTAAACATAATTTTCTACTTTCAGAGCAAACGTATGTTTTAGAGATATATAATTTCGAAATAATTTATTGTAGGTGTTATATTTTTTAGTATAAACTTATTGGGTTGGTGCTTACTTATTAGGCGTTTTTAAAACTATATATATTACCAAAAAAGAAACATAACAATTCAATAATAACAATTTTAAACTCATTATTCCGCAGGGTATGATTATAGACACACATTGTTATAACCTGAAAATAAAATAATATTTTTATTAAAAAAAAGAAGAAAAAACAGTAATTTTTATTAACAAATAACTCGCCTACAAAACGCCTGATAATTATGCACCAACCCAATATTTCCTTAAGGTAAGACGGTATGTTTACGGTTTCAGTATTTTTCAATAGTTTTCAAATGTTGGTTTCCTTGTAGTATTTATGTCTTACAGGTGCTAAGTGAGTACATTCCGTTAAAAATATATTTCACCGTGAGTGTAGCTTATTACGGGTCGCTAACCACGGCAAACAGGGCGGGGCTGTGCTTACCTAGCTACAGTGTTGAAGCCGGCGAATTGTACAACCCCAGCCAATAACACGGAAAGAAATTTGAGAGAAAAAGAGAAAAAATGAAAGGCAATACAATAAAATGTAACGAGAAGAAGCAAACGAGAACGAAATGGAAAGAAACAAAATGGAGGCAGATAGAAATAAAGTAGTCAAACAGGAAGAAGTGAATACGTTTAAAGTAAAGTTAAAATGGAAGGAAATCTGACGAAAATTAATGAAAACAAGCAAGCAATAAAGAAAGAAAGAAAGAAAGAAAGACAAAAGGAAAATAAAGAAAATACGGAAACAGACAGTAGTAAAGAAATTTGAGAGGAAAAGAGAAAAATGAAAGAAATTAAATTAAAATCGTGTACAGCAATAAACACAAAAATGGAAATGCAAAGAAAGAAAGAAAGAAAGAAAGAAAGAAAGAAAGAAAGAAAGAAAGAAAGAAAGAAAGAAAGAGAAATAATGAAGAAAAAACATGGTAGAAAAAGAAGATAAGGATAGAGAAAGGTTATAAATCGAGCAGGATAAAGTAGATCAGGGTTGAGGATAAAGAGAATAAAAAGCGAAAGAAAGTAAGAAAGGAAAAAGAAAGAAAGAAAGAAAAAAGAAAGAAAGAAAGAAAGAGAAATAATGAAGTAGAAACCATAGTAGAGCAAGAAGGTGAGGATACAGAAAGGTTATAAATCGAGCAGGAAAAAGTCAATCAGGGTTAAGGGAAAAGAGAATAAAAAGCGATAGAAAGAAAGAGAGAAACAAAGAAAGAAAGAAAAAAAAGAAAGAAAGAAAGAAAGAAAGAGAAATAATGAAGAAAAAAAGTAGAAAAAGAAATGAAGAAAGTTATAAATCGAGCAGGAAAAGTAAATCAATTAAAGCAAGCACAAATAAAGAAAGAAAGAAAGAAAAAAGAAAGACAAAAGGGAAAATAAAGAAAATACGGAAACAGTCAGTAGTAAAGAAATTTGAGAAAAAGAAAAATCAAAGAAATTAAATTAAAATCGTAAAAATAAAGACAAAAACGGAAATGTAAAGAAAGAAAGAAAGAAAGAAAGAATGAGAAATAATGAAGAAGAAAACATGGTAGAACAAGAAGGTGAGAATAGAGAAAGGTTATAAATCGAGCAGGAGAAAGTAGATCAGGGTTGAGGACAAAGAGAATAAAAAACGAAAGAAAGAAAGAAAGAAAGAAAGAAAGAAAGAAAGAAAGAAAGAAAATAACGAAGAAGAAAAACAAAGAAACAAGAAGGTGAGAAAGAGAAAGGTTATAAATCGAGCAGGAGAAAAGACAGGTTGAGGACAAAGAGAATAAAAAACGAAAGAAAGAAAGAAAGAAAGAAAGAAAGAAAGAAAGAAAGAAAGAAAGAAAATAACGAAGAAGAAAACATGGTAGAACAAGAAGGTGAGAATAGAGAAAGGTTATAAATCGAGCAGGAGAAAGTAGATCAGGGTTGAGGACAAAGAGAATAAAAAACGAAAGAAAGAAAGAAAGAAAGAAAGAAAGAAAGAAAGAAAGAAAGAAAATAACGAAGAAGAAAACATGGTAGAACAAGAAGGTGAGAATAGAGAAAGGTTATAAATCGAGCAGGGAGAAAGTAGATCAGGTTGAGGAGAAAGAGAATAAAAACGAAAGAAAGAAAGAAAGAAAGAAAGAAAGAAAGAAAGAAAGAAAGAAAGAAAGAAAATAACGAAGAAGAAAACATGGTAGAACAAGAAGGTGAGAATAGAGAAAGGTTATAAATCGAGCAGGAGAAATTAGATCAGGGTTTGAGGACAAAGAGAATAAAAAACGAAAAGAAAGAAAGAAAGAAAGAAAGAAAGAAAGAAAGAAAGAAAGAAAATAACGAAGAAGAAAAAGAGGAAAGAACGAGAAAGAAAGGTTATAAATCGAAGGAGAAAAGATCAAGGACAAAGAGAATAAAAAACGAAAAAGAAAGAAAGAAAGAAAGAAAAGAAAGAAAGAAAATAACGAAGAAGAAAACATGGTAGAACAAGAAGGTGAGAATAGAGAAAGGTTATAAATCGAGCAGGAGAAATTAGATCAGGGTTGAGGACAAAGAGAAAAAAAAAACGAAAGAAAGAAAGAAAGAAAGAAAGAAAGAAAGAAAGAAAGAAAGAAAAAATAACGAAGAAGAAAACATGGTAGGACAAGAAGGTGAGAATAGAGAAAGGTTATAAATCGAGCAGGAGAAAGTAGATCAGGGTTGAGGACAAAGAGAATAAAAAACGAAAGAAAGAAAGAAAGAAAGAAAGAAAGAAAGAAAGAAAATAACGAAGAAGAAAACATGGTAGAACAAGAAGGTGAGAATAGAGAAAGGTTATAAATCGAGCAGGAGAAATTAGATCAGGTTTGAGGACAAAGAGAATAAAAAACGAAAAAAAGAAAAGAAAGAAAGAAAGAAAGAAAGAAAGAAAAAATAACGAAGAAGAAAACA